TATAGCCCGTCATGTGGTTGTGTATATGTTTTAATGTGTGTACGCGCTTAGAATGTAGAACGTAAGGGAATAAGGAAAATATGCGTTGTATATATATATAGAGTTAAGTAAAGAAAAACATTTTACTGAGAGAAAATTTGCATACATACATACATACATACATATATACATACATACGTACACGTAAATAGGATTTCATCATAATGAAGTTTTAAATAAATGAATTGTTATGCAAATTGCGCGTTGCTCATAATGCAACAATTCATTCGAAAGTTTATCAGCAAATGTGTGCATAAATACTAGACTGCACTGCACTGCCTGTTTATACTCTCGCTTTTTATGCCAAATACTATAATGTGGCACGCGGTTGATGTGACCTTCAGTATAGTAAGGAAAGGAAAGTTTTTTCTCTTTCCATGAGCATAGCATCTAAAGCATTTCATTTCTGTTTGATTCTTTAAAGATTTTTCGTTTTTTCTACAGATGCGAACAAAAACACATTTGTGTGTTTTCATGAAACACTAGCATGTATAAAATGCAATTTCAGCAAACAAAAGAGGCAACAACGAGTTTCTAATGACAGCGAATTCATTGTTGCATTAAAAGTGTCATGTACATGCTGGATTTATATATCAAAAAGCTACACCCGCACGCACGTACACGCAGATATGCATGTGTGCATGCTCCAATTAAATTTATGCCATGAAATCATACAAACGCTCACACGCGCGCGCGCGCGCATAAGCATATAACCATGTGTTCGTATTTATTTATACATATGTAGCTGATTTCTTTTCCCTATTCTCCTCTATAGACGCAGAACAGCACAGAACTGTAGTGCGGCAGTTCATTCACCAGCGCGCATTTATCTTACGTTTTCGCTTGTATATGCAATTTGTTACAAAATTTTCGACATTAATTGCTTAAGGTGTCTTCGTTTTTATGTTTACCGCGTACAACGATGACACATAAAAAGTAAAACCTATATTATAACCTATATATGTATATATAGATTGTTATTCTTATATATTTACATGTACACTCTATATGTATTTGTATATAGACTATATATGTTATTTGACAAATGTTTATTCAGTGCGCGACAAAATTTAATTTAACTTTTTTAATTACAAAACTCTTTGTACACACACGCATGGAGGAGAATATGCAGATTATACCCGCTTCCCACACCTATACAATTAAACGTACACACTCACTTACATGTGTATTTATTAATAGGCATGCATGTATAAGCAGTACGTGCAATATATATTTACTTATAGGTGCAAGCGAGAACATCTGAATCTATTTGTCCGTACAGTATCTATGTAATGCACGAAATTCATTTCTAACATCGCCAATGTGGTAATAATGTTGCCTAGAAAATTTGCCCCAAATTGTCGGGTTTCCTTCTTCCCTCATACAATCAGTCCGTTTGCAGGCATCTAAAACTCATATCATCTGCAAACTTAACGTAATTGCTTGCAAGAGATCTAGAAAGGCTTTGCTCGCTACCTTAACCGCAGAGAAGGTATTGCCCTTCCAAGTCATTTGCAATCCACAGAAATACAACTTGAAAAGAATCGAATATTTATATATTCATAGGCATATATATTTCAAAGCATGGTCTTCACTAGCAAGCACTATCGCAAAATTTTCGCTTTTCGTACTCGCAACGCTTGCATCAAATAATATCTAAGTCGGAAAAATTATTCCGAATATCTCTTTGCTCTAAACAACGCCATTACTTTGCTTTATAAACATATATATATATATATATATATAAATATATATAGCATTGCCATAGTGTTCGAAACAGTGATATATGACATTCTTCGACGCATGCGTTCTATTCTTAATAAAATTTTCCTCGACGCATGCGTTCTTTTCTTAATAATATTTTGTCGCCAATTCTCTAAAAACAAATTTCAACAAAGGCATCAATCGAATTGTATGGATTATAGAATATAGGTCACACGACATGGGATCGAAATATTGAGTGAATGAATTTTCATTTCGTATTGTTATGAGATCATTAAACAAGCTAGCGGTGGATATCAATCATTTAGTTGTGCTTGTATATCGCCCATCATGGGGAACTTGTGGCTACGCTTTTCCCGAACTGCATGTATTTGTCATGCACACACAGACACACACACACACACACACACACACACACACACACACACACACACACACACACACACACACACACACACACACACACACACACACACA